AATATCATGGGCCAGGAACAGCAGCAGGCGGCGGGACCTCTGGGGCACCACCGGCTGCCTCCTCCCCTCCCAGGATTCAGATTGCCCCATTCCCAGGCCAGGAATCCCTTCTCCCGCGGGAATCTCTCCCTGCTGTTCCCCTAGTCAGGATTATTGTAGAATGCATAACTGTAAAATGGAGTCAGTCCGGGTTCCATTTTGTATCTCACCTCAGGAAAATCAGTAAAGTGCCCGCCACTGCCCGGCCTTTGCACCCTTCTCCCTAGCCGACGCACACGGCACAAACCCCGGCACCCCACTCTCTGTTGCTGCGCACGCATTTGATCGGTGCTCTCAGCCCGCTAGACACGGCACACGACCCCTTGTTTTGCACTCAGCTGCTATCCCTGTTTTCCCGCCTCAGAGGGCTTATAAGCTCAGGAAACTCGGGAGCGTCTCTTCGTCTGTCCGAGTGTGTGCAGGTTGTGGGCTCCCCGTGGGGTTCCACCATGTTGCTATTCGTGGATATGTGGCTGGTGAGGCAGGCGTCGGTGCAGTGACCACCGTGTGTGAGAGAACACTCCGCTTTTGCACTCAGCTGCTATCCCTGTTTTCCCGCCTCAGAGGGCTTATAAGCTCAGGAAACTCGGGAGCGTCTCTTCGTCTGTCCGAGTGTGTGCAGGTTGTGGGCTCCCCGTGGGGTTCCACCATGTTGCTATTCGTGGATATGTGGCTGGTGAGGCAGGCGTCGGTGCAGTGACCACCGTGTGTGAGAGAACACTCCGCGCATTGGACTTCCCTACCGGATCGGCCCGCGGAGTCGTAGGTCTGGTGGGAGCCTTATCCAGGAGCCATGCCACGAAGGGAGCGCAGATCCCTCGTCTCCAGGCGTCGGTTCCAGCTGGAAGGGTCTGCTTCGAGGGATCGCCCTGCTGTCCTCCCTCGCAGCTTTCAACTCGCTACGAGGTCGCAGGCCTCAGTCGACCTCTTGTATCTGGGATCTGTCTTCTATTTCTTCTGGGGTAGGGTGGGAGCGGTAGAGTTGTGTAGTTGTTGTGCTCTACTATTTTTTTTAAAATACATGGTTAGGCCCTAAACTTGTGTTTGGTCTGATTGTGCCGGCTAATCCAACGGTGACAGAGAGACGTAACACCGGGCCGGATCTGGCTTCTGTGCAGGTAGTGTAGACATACCCTGGGGTAACACTGAGGTCCTCCCACAGGGGCCAGGACCCGGCACCGCCCTGGTCAGCCAGGGCCCTCAGCTTCTCTCAAGAGGGATCCTTACGCAGCTCCGTCTGGAACTCGGCTGCTTGGCTGGTGTTTATGGCAGTGGAGTGTTGTGCCTCAGTTTCCCCACCCCAGGCTGGAGGTATGACGTAGTGCAGGTACCTTGCTGGTTGCTAGGCTCGAGCTGTGGGTGACCCCCACTGGCTGCTGTCTGTACCACAGCCCAGCCGAGTAGCTGATGGGACAGGGAGGGAACCTGTTCGACCAGTTACCTCCCAGGGAGCGGAACAAAGGAAGAAAGGCGGAGTGGAGCCCCTGGCTGGGGGGCAGGGCGGGAAGTTGGGCAGTTTCTGTCTGGTATCATGGAGGAAGCAGCCTAAGCAAGGGGCTGGGATTTAGGGGCCTAGTCTCCCCCATCTCAAGGGGGGCTGAGGCATCCTAAGCCTGCCCTGTAACAAAATTACGTCTATGCTGGGCTGTTCCCTAGAGAAGCAATAAACTCCCTCTGTTCTACTGGCTGGTGCAGTCTGTTTGTGCCATTTCGGGGTGCAGGAGATGGGGGACCCCAACGCGCCGTCACACTGGTGTCAGGAGCAGAA